GAACTCAGAGATGACGTTATGAAACTGAACCAGTAGTTCACGATCTTTCTCCTCTGGGCGATTGCCATTGAATGACCAGCCATCCTCGTCTAGGAAATTATGGAAGTTTCGGAGCAATGGCTCTTTTGTTTTCAAAGGTATTGAGGTGTCATCTTCGATGGTATCGAGACCGCGAAGGATCAAATAAAACAGACAGACTGGGAGGAGAAGTTCAGGATGCAGCTCGAGGATGACCGCACTAAAGCTTCTACTAGTAAGCTTCAAGAAATGGAAGCATATCTTTTCTGTTTCTGTTTCTAGCTTCTCGTCCCTTTCGTGAACTGGGTTATGCCAAACTTTCCTAGACGTACTACTCAGTTAATTGATAATTCCCCAGATAATGTGAGAGGCGGCTCTTCTCATGACAACAACAGGGAGTGAGGGGGGAAAAAGGTGAGAAAAGGGGCGGGAGAGGGTTAACTAAGAGGGGATTTATACAAAGTACCATTTCGCAGTAGAGTAAAGAAGAGAGTTGAGAGAAGCACCCAGAGGAGCTTACCATTGAATAATTGACCTCAGCTCTTGAGGATGGAAGAGGTAGTATATTGGTGTTGTGATGGTAACCATGGCGGCGATCCAAAAAAGGCAGAGGTTTTAAGAGAGCTAGGAAAGAGAAAGGAGACAAGGAGAAAGATGTATAAAGATGACGACAATTGACGAGGCAAGGAGAGGCTTCAGAAGCGCATTGGTGAAGTTAGTTTGTACCCTACCTTGAGGGCCTTCGGGTAACCTAGGGAGGTAAACTTGAAGTGAAGTTGCAGTGAAGTCGGAGCAAAAGAAGTTGTGGAAGTGGAGGAAGCGAAAAATGCGCGAGGGCCGAAGAAAAAGGATGAACTAAAAAGCCTTGGAAATTTGATCTCCAACGGATTCAGTCCAATAAAGGGAAAAGCGTTGAAATCGACCAGTATCACATGATCCGACCTGTCTAGTTTAGTCAGCATTCGCGCTCTGCCACAGAGGAACGAACCCTGAAGCGGACTAGCGCGCTGCCTAGGCAGGCGCAAGAAAATGACATCGCGGTAAAAATTATTGGGACGTGCAGACATCTTGTCACGGTCTGCGCTGGAACTGACAGCCATACCTATATCATATCCACGCCGTGATGCGCAAATAAATACTCCTTCTTCTGCTCCTGTATATTCCCCTTCTACCATCCCTCATAATTTCAATATGGTGGCAGATACCGCCTACTATGACGTGCTAGGCGTTCCAACAGATGCAACAGAAATACAGATTAAGAAAGCGTATAGAAAACTAGCCATTACTACCCATCCAGGTCCGTTGATTCCTTTGTTCTGGAATACTCTCGCTTTCATCTTCAAACTCTCTTTGTATTACTAACATGATCGCTCGCTCCAATAGACAAAAATCCCGGTGATGAAACTGCACACGAACGATTCCAAGCAGTACTTCCCTTCCCCTCTCCTCTTCCCAAAAATTTTGTCTCCATGTTGCGTTCTAAGCAAGCAAACGTATCCTGCGATTTATGAAAATCAAAGGTCTAACAATCCTGCGTTTGCAGATTGGTGAGGCATACCAAGTCCTAAGCAATGAACAGCTGCGAAAACAATATGACAAGTTTGGCAAGGACCATGCTGTGCCCGACAGTGGATTTGGTGAGTTATATCACCCCTTGCCTTGATCTCTAGCTCCTCCTCAAGCCTTCACCCTCAACCGTTAACCCCCCAATCATCCTGGAACAACTTCTAACAGCATTTCAGAGGACCCTGCCGAATTCTTTAGCATGATCTTCGGAGGCGGCGCCTTTGTCGACCTGATTGGTGAAATTTCACTCATGAAGGATATCACCCAGACCATGGATATTACCATGCAGGGTGAGGAGGAGGAGGAGCAAGGTGAACTAGCTGACGCTAAGAAGACCCAGTTTCACATACATGACCAGGAAAGCCTGTCTGAGAAGCCTGCTGAAAGCTCTCTGCCTCATCATTCCGGAGATCATAAAACGCCGGCTCCCGGCGCTGCACCGAATCTAAAGGCCACCTCCCCAGAGATGCCGCCCCAATCAGGCCCCAGTTCTGGCGCCGATACTCCACGCCGCTACTTGTGTCAACAAGCCCTCATGGATAGATCAGATGAGGATGTGAGGATGGAAGCCTTTTCCGCCGAGGAAAAGGAACTACGGAAAAAGGAGAAGAAAAAAGGAGGTCTCACCAAAGAGCAGCGGGACCGATTGGCGGCCTTTGAGGCTGAGAGACGGCGGCAGCGGGAAGAACGAATCAACACCCTTTCTCAAAAACTCATTGATCGCATTAGCATTTGGACGGAAACTGATATGGGCCCGGACGTGACGCATGCGTTTGAAGAGAAGACTCGTTTGGAAGTTGAAAACCTCAAAATGGAATCCTTTGGTCTTGAAATTCTACATGCTATTGGCACCACGTATATCCAAAAGGGCTCGGCGTTTATCAAGTCCCAGAAATTTCTTGGGATTTCGGGATTCTGGTCGAGATTGAAGGATAAAGGCACGCTGGCTAAGGAGACCTGGCATGCCGTTTCCACAATGGTCGATGCCCAGATGAGCGCAGAGCACATGGCTCAACTCGAGGAGCGCGGCGGTGAGGATTGGACCGATGAAAAGATGGCTGAACAGGTAAAGCTAGTCACCGGCAAAATGCTTGCAGCCGCGTGGCGAGGCAGTAAATTCGAAATTCAGAGCGTCCTGCGTGACGTGTGTGATAAGATCTTGAACGATAAATCCGTTCGTTTGGAGAAACGTATCGATCGCGCTCATGCTCTTGTTCTTAGTGGCCGGATATACCAAATGGTATGGTTTTTCGGTCCCTGTTCTTGTTTGCTCTTCTGTTTTTTTCCTTTTCTTTTCCTTTTTCCGCTTCTCGACCAGACTTGTAGCTCATGCACTAACTGGTGAATGTGATCAAGGCAAAGCGCACCCCCGAAGAAGAAGGTGATTATATGGCCTTCGAACAGCTCATGGCTGAGGCTACCGCAAAGAAAGCTAAGAGTGAGAGAAAGAAAGAGGGCAAACGGACAAAGGCAGAATCAACGAGTGAGGGCACTCGGACATCGGAACAAAATTCGTAATATATTCTCCACAACGGCTCGGAACGTAATCGAATTTCTCGATTTATGGGAGTAATTCCAGGGCCTGCCTTTTCTGCCTGCCCTTTCTGCCTGCCCCTTGATATAAATGAAACTACCCCTCCCTCCTCCATTCTATCCTTCCCCCTTAACTTACATCCACACCTATTGGCATTTTCTGACGTAATTACGAATATGCACGAGTTAGAATAATAATAAGGCGATATTAATAAAGTTCGAGAGAAATGTCACGTGTTGAAATTGATATGTACTAGAAATTACGGGTATCAGTGGAGCAGAGAAGGAGTGAAGGGCCGATGTGCCTTATTAAGAGGATATCAAGCATCCACCATCCAACACCGAATCCAGACTAACGCCACAAATAATAATAATAATAATAATAATAAATAAATAAATAAATAAATAAATAAATAAATGACAACACGGCTTGTATGATACATCTGCACAGACATGCCTCGCTGGCATGTGGCAGTTGGAAAACCGTTATTGTAGTTCAAAGGGGAGAGAAGAAATAGTAATGAAATCAGGCATATGTCAAAGTAAGTTCTGTCTAGCTACAGCACAAAGGAAATGGTGGGAGCTAAATAATGAAAGTTAATTCGAGTCTGGTAGGTTAATATATCAAACGGGGAAGAATGCTGAACTGTTAGTGACTGATACAATTTAGCTATCCCTGCGTCGAACCCAAGAGCCCTCTCCCACCTTCTGCTTCGCCTTCAATCTCGTCAGGGAAAAGTACTCTGCCGCCAATGTCTATATCTGTGAGATGGACGTGATAGTCGAGAGCTCTTTTAGCTTCGAGAATTAAGCTTTCGGTCCATCCCAAGCAACGCTTGATGCTCTGGTTCATCATTTGGCTGTCAATAAGGACCTGTTTATGTTTTGTAAGATCAATGATGAACCGTTTTTCATCTCTAGTTAGATGTTTCTCGTCACGCTCGACAATGCCATTGAGGCTAGGAGTGCCGTTATCGGAAAGTGAAGATTCATTGTCACTGGGGTCTGAGAGATCTTCATTCAAACTATTCGTCAAATATATGTCGTTAGGTTCATCAAGTGTTGCGCCGACAGCGGACATGTTGTTTTCTGTCAACGTGGAGATAGATTCAGGGATCATAAGGCGGCCAGATCGCGTTAGACGCCTGTAGCGGCGCAGTTCTGAATTCTGTTTCCTCATCTCCCTTTCCAATGCACGGTTGATTGCAAGCAAGGAGGAATTGCTAATCTCAAGATCAAGGACTTTACGTTCTCGTCGAGCATTTAATGCCAGTTCATTCATCTTATCGATATTGGAATTTCGAGGCACATCCTCTTTCATAGAGCTATGAAGACCGGCAGAAGGAAGGGACGCATAATCTGTGGGAGGAAAATGGTGGACACCTACAACCCGAGGGTTGAGCTCCTGGGGAGCTGTAGTTAACAATAGTTGGTGTTCGCCTGATCTTGATCCTAACTGTGGAGTTCCACTGAGGTTTGATAAGAACTCTTGTTTGTGTTGCTTCACATGATGCGAAGCATCCAGACTGTAGGATTTTGTGTGAGATGATCTTCTTGGGCTATCCAGGGGCAATGGTTGCTGATTGTGGGTCGTGGGTGACTGCTGGCCAAACGAAACATCTGAGGTTGAAATTGGTGTAGGATGAGAATTTGAAGGACTTTGATGATGTCTAAGTGCATGGGAGTCTCTGGCAAATATACCTGGGATGTGAGTTTGCTTCGATCGTGATGAGACTGTGAGCTCTGGCCGTTTTAAAGAAGGTAGTCGAGGAGTCTTTTCCCAGGGTGTGGCAGTCTTCGATCCATCACGATGAGAACTTTCAGAGGTGGACCCATAAGCATAAATAAAAGTTGACGGGCCAGCCTGCTTCTGAAGTGACCCAGTCCGCATGTACAGGCTTGTTGTGGATTGGGAAGACCTAGTATCATCTGCATGGAAAAACATAGGCGTTCCTGTGGAGCTCCCACACGATGACGAATGTCGAAATTTTGTTGTAAGGCATTGCGTGTCATTCACGAGATTCTCTGCTCTAGCTATCCTGGGCATCGCAACAAAGCGATCTTCCTTTGGAATCAGATCTAACGGCGGAGGTGTGGGAGGGTCAGGAATGAGCGTTGAATATATGGGATGTTGGGATATGGGCGAGATTTCTGCAGGAGAAGGATTTCCGTCTCGACGAGACAACCGCTGCCCTGATCGGGGGGTTACATTTGAGCTCAGCATGGAGGACGTTGGGGTGGAAGTCTCGGAGTAGGAGAGTCCATGTCGTGGGTGCTGGGTTGACTCGGGATATACGGTTTTATGGGTGGTGCAGGTTGGTGCGTAACCAGCAAGTTTGGGGGTTAATGGGGATTTTGGGGTTCGAAACGAGGAACTCATTATAGGTGTGAAGGGTTTGGCCTGTCGGCCACTGAGATGTTGCTTATCAGCGGCCATTATTTTCTTCGCAGGACACAGATGGCTCGAGGGTGTTGGGTGCAAAAGTTGGTCGCGCATTATGACATCGTGGGGCCTTGAATAGCGCGGCAACCATGATGGTTGGGACCAAGACAGCTTCGACAGTGCATGAAAACTGCGGAAGCCTAAAAGCCCAGTCAATAGTGCAGCGGGCTGCAGTGAGCAGCGGTGCGTGTCGTGTCGAGGACCCGTTGGAAATCAAAGTTGAAGTCGCTGTTCATTCGACGATAACAACATTCTGGACCAAAACGGACTAGCGCGAAAGCAACCCTTTATCTGGCTGATGATAAGGAGATACAGCAAGGTTAAGTTTAATCCAATCACGGAGCATAGAGATCGGCCGACCTCGCTAATTGGGCATGACCGCCCGGTAGCCGCACCAGCTCACGTGGTGTACGCGTATATTGTTGGACGTCTGAAGTGGTTGTATTGGTAGCTTATCTCAGGGATGCTATATACTACTATGCAGTGCGCTAGTCTATGTCACAGCTTCAATCTAGACAAAGATGAACAGGTGTTCTATTGTCAACTAGATAAGCTATCTGAGTGAATACTAAGATGATTTCTAAAAGATAAGTTTGAAGAAAGCTCTGTTTATATAGTACTTTTCTTAACACTTTTCTTAGTGCAGTTACCATGTGATTGTCACATTTACATGTTATTTGTATGTAGAGTTGATTGCTATGTCAATATCTAGACAGTTTGTGATTAATGTGTTTAGACAGTTGCAATTACTATTCATCTTAGTTTTATGCTATTGAAAAGATTACAGAGCTCATTCTATACTATCACATTATCTCTACTTGAAGTCTAGTGTAGAGGATTAAGCTCTAAGAACTAGAGGCTAGTCCTTCTATATAACAAGAACAAATTGCTTGAAAAAGGAGAGAAAAGAATGAGATGAGAATACAAGCTTAAGCAAGCTCATGTAGTATGATCATATGTGCATATGCAAATAATGACTAGGCTGAGTCAGTTAGTCAGAGTGAATTTATAAATTCAGCTTCTTATAATACCTCTCTTCTTTCTCTTTGTTGCAGGTTTTGATGACTATTTAAAGTTCTCTTTACATTTAATTTTGCCTGCTGAGAGGCCTCTCAATTGTTCAAAGTCTTCACTTCTTATAGGAGACTTGCATCATTTCATGTAGACTCAGCCCAATCTACTTATTTAACAAAATATTGCTTTTTCCTCTGATAGATTTGTTCACTTCAAATTTTCTCAATCTCAAACTCAGATTCTTTCAGAGTCTCTATAGCAAGTGACTGTCAGTCAGTTTATTTCTGACTAGACAGAGAATTCATCACTGTAGCATGTAAAAGATTTACATTAAAGACATTGTGAATGTCAGATGAGACATTCAGTCAGTAAGTATGAAATTCTATCTTTTCTAGCATAGTATATTAATTGTATTTTGCATTCAGCTTCTTGCACAGATGATTAGTTCTCATGTTCTCTAAGCTCAATCAGATCTTATCTTTAGATTGAAAGCTTGAAGCTGAGTCTCTTCATCTATTTATGTAGTTCTCTTGAGATTGCTGAGCATCTGTCATTTTTACTTGAGTTCACTTCAACACTTCACAGGTTTTTCTCATATAATCATTCACAAACTCAATGAGATTATATGACATTTCAACAGGAGGTGCATTAGGTATATCAATAAAGAAGACATGAAAAAGATGTATTAAAAAGAATAAGCTCATACTTGTTGAGGCAGCATCTCTATTATTGATAATCAGCTCTGTCAGAGGAAGTCATTTACATCAGTTATTTAGTTGAAAGCTAACATACTTCTGTAGATAGATTTTCAGAGTCTGATTCATTTGCTCTGTAGCTTTGTCAGTCTTTGAGTGATAGACTATGAAGAGTCATCTCTTAATATGTAATTTCTCACACATCTGAGTTCAAAACATGCTTGTGAAAGCTGATCCTTAATTTGACACTACTGTCTTAGAGATGCCATATCAAGAAATGATGTTATAAAGAAACACTTTAGTCACTATCTTCACATTAGTTTTTTTAACTGCTTTTAATATAATTTTTTTGATCAGTCTGTCTGTTATAATCATGAAATTTGTATATTCTTTAGAGCTTGATAAGTTCACAATAAAGTTCATGAAGAGCTTCTGTCACATGTGTTTAGAAATAAGAAGAGGCTTAAGCAATCTTTGACATTAATCTCTTCATGCAGTGTTTAATCTGCAAAAATAGCAGTTCTTGATCATTCTTCTCATATCAGTGGCATAGTCTGATCAGTAGAACTCATGTCTTAGAACTTCTGCTGTTTGCTCTTACCCAGAATGACCAGTAAGAGATGAGTTGTAAGTCTTATATACTAATCTGATTTGAAGAGGTTCAAATTCTGACACTCACTTATGATCTCAAAAGAGAAGCTTCTCATTCTCATTTAAAGAGCACTCGGAGACAGAGATCTTAATGCTGAGTTCAGAAGAAAATTTGAATCTACTCTCATGAAGAGTCTGCTTCATACACTGCAGAATCTTGTCATTTTTGTAAGTCTCATTTCACTGAGCTTGAAGAGACATCTCAGGTTCCATGCTAGCAGCAGCCACTCTTGATTCTATTTCAGATGTCAGTATATTAAACTTAAGTAGTTAAGCTTGTCTCTACTTGATCCTCTCATCATCAGCACTCTATGGCATGTTCTGCTCTCTTTGTGATAGAATGTTTGATTCAGTGTTCAACTTCTTTGACTGATAATCAATTCTAAAGTTAAATTGATACAGAATATCCATCTAATATAGCTGTCTTTCATTTAGTCTGTGTGTAGTCATGAAGTATTCTAGATTATTATTATCTATGAGGATTTTGAATTTCTTTACTATAAGGAGTTAAACCTCTAGATTTGCTCTGGCTGGCTGACTCAGCCTAGCTATCATTTGCATGTGCGCACATGATCATGCTACGCGAGCTTGCTTAAGCTTGAGTTCTTATCTCATTCTTTTCTTCCCTTTTTCAAGCAATTTGTTCTTATTATATAGAAGGACTAGCCTTTAGTTCTTAGAGCTTAACTCTTTACATTATGAATTGCTTCACTTCTTTCATTGATAGGCCACTGGGAGCTTTAATCCTATATTATAAAGCTCAGCAAATGTGCTGACATATGATAGGCTATTGAGAGCCTTAAATCCTACATCACAAAGTTCAGTGATAGGACTGGTATATGAATAGACTGGGTTAGCAATCATGCTAACAAATGAACAAGCAACATTGAAAATGTCTAGCTAAATGAGATAAAGCAGCAGACTTGTACAACAAATACACAAATGAATCAACACAAAGCAATGAGCAGGGACACCCTCAGCAGCTTCAAACAACAATAGATGGCCTTTCTTCAACAGCAGAAACAGGTCCAGTATGAGAACAGAGATTTAATAGCAGCTCAGCAAGCTGAAATAGCTAATATATGACAAGCTTTGAACACTCTGACATCAACCCTCTCTCAATTGAATCTGCAACCACTCATTGCAGTCAGAAGACCAAAGACCAAGTTATCAGATTGTGAGAAGTATGATAGTTGTAATCTGAAGCACTACTTTCAGTGAGAGCTAAAGCTTCAATCAAAACTTAAGATCAATGAGAAAGCTTTAGATAATAATGAGGAATGTGCTTGGTATGTGTACTCAAGACTGAAAGGAATGGCAGCAGCTTGAGTTTACCTCTGAGTTGAGAATAATAAGAACAAGATCATCTTTATGATAGAGAGCTTACTGAAGCAGACACACATGCTTTTTAGTGATTCTGCACAACAGGAAAAGGCTATACAAAAGCTCAACAATCTATGACAGAGTAGAAAAGCTCTTTTTAACTTTCTGCCTGGATTTAATCAGCTACTGCTGAAAGCTGATGGTCACAGATGAGATGATCATGTTAAAAAGAAGTATTTGAAATTCACTCTAAGCATAGAGCTGAGGGAAGGCATGGTGAGTGTAAGAGAATCATCTCTCTACAAGAATTACTGCAAGGAGCTTAGATTAATTGATCATCAACTCTCTAAGCTTAAGACTTTAAGGCAGTGGTTTAAATGTCACAAGAGCAGATCTTCTTCAGATCATACAACATCTAATCCAGACTCTCTACTTCATCATACTGTCCTTGATCAATGAAACTGATCTCAAGCTTTTACTGATAATCTAATGAATCTCTCTTCTGATGTTGTGACCTCAAGCACTCATCACATCAAATTAATAAATCAGACAGAGGTTAATTAATGAAGAGAGCAAGGCCTGTATCTGAGATATGGAGCTGAAGGTCATATGATTAAGAGCTGCTCATTCAAATCTCTCAGACACTCTGTCACTGTCATAATAGCTAAGATGATCCTTAAGCTGGTACTAAACAATGATAATGTAAATATGAGTAAGAATTTGAGAAAAGAGTAGCTCCAATCAAAAAACACTGAAAGAAGCAAAATAAGAAGCTTATGAAGAAGCAATAGAGAAGATTTAAATCTAAGATGATATTTAAACCCTTCACTGTTGATGCTTTAGTAGATAATATCTTTTTGACTAAAGTAATAATAGACAGTGAATGTAATGTCTATGATCTTATTTCTCAATTCTATGTTAACAAGCATAAGCTCCTGTGCATTGAAATTCCCTCTGTTAAAATGACCAGCTTTGAAGACTCTATGAAACTCTCCATAAGCATGATGACTGGCATTCAAATTGATATAGGTGGTCATATAACTGAATAGGCCTTTCTCTACATGGTGAATGAGTTACATGGTCATGATATATGTCTAGATGACCCCTGGCTGACTCAGCAAAAGGTGACTATGATTCTTCATCAAAGAATTATGAGATTTGAAGAGAGTGGTATAGAGGTAGAGTCTAGTTCAAATGCAAAAGCTGATGTGATTCTCATCTTTGTCATAAGCTTCTCTAGGCTTGTGAGCACTTAAGAGAAGTGAAACATCAAGATCTTCACTGTCAGTTTGGCCAACATTCAAAAGACTCTAGAAGTGAAATCAAAGATTGACTCTAGAGAAAAGCTGTCTGAATATTATCATGAGTTTT